AGTAGCCTGAGAAAGATCTGGCTGTTAACATCCAGCCCTGAATTTTCTCTGATGAGAGGCAAAAGACCCTACAGTCACTGACTCTTATTCCCCAGAAGTGGAAGGAGAGAGAGAGGAGGAAGGAGAAAATTGGGTCTCTTATCATGATCAATAAATACTTAAGCACAACATTTAGGAAATACTAGGAATGAATCCTAAGACATATGAGATATTTAAGATATAGGACATGTATAGTTCCTAAAAGGGCTAAAAGGTTGAAGAAACCTACAAACTTGTAAGGAAACAGAAATAAAACAAGTAGCATATAACAAATATAATGAAAGGCAATATAGCAGGTACCATGTACTAATGCCAGATATAACAATAGCAGAATGTTCCAAAAAGAGTGAGATCTCTGTGGGAAATATTTCAGGAACAGGAACTAGGCAAGGGAAGGTATCAATCTAACAGGTTTGGTTAGAATACATTAAGATTCAAGAAAAATCAGCAAATGCTGAGTCCCTATTATGTGGAAGGTATCATTCAGCTAACAAGAAATACAAGACATGATGCATGAATCAAGGGATGTACAATCATGGTGCTTTCCACCTGCTATTCCTTCTGTGGAACTCTCCCCACTGCTTCCAACTCTCTCTCTCTCTTTTTTTTTTTTTTTTGAGATGGAGTCTTGCTCTGTCGCCCAGGCTGGAGAGAGTGCAGTGGTGCCATCTCAGCTTACTGCAACCTCCGCCCTCGGGTTCAAGCGACTCTCCTGCCTCAGCCTCCTGAGTAGCTGGGACTCCAGGCACATGCCAACATGCATGGCTAATTTTTGTAATTTTAGTAGAGACCGGGTTTCACCATATTGGTAAGGCTGGTCTCCAGCTCCTGACCTCAGGTAATTCACCCACCTCGGCCTCCCAAAGTGCTGGAATTGCAGGCATGAGCCACTGCCCCTGGCCAACCTTCTTAACTCTTACACTATGCCCATCTGAGATCAAATAAATCCCCTTAAAAGCTAGAGCACTTACCACAGCTGCATTTGTATATTACTTGTCAATTTATTTGACTAATGTCTGTGTAGCTTACTAAACTTCAAGTGTCATGTGAATGGCATTCATGTCAAGTGTTTGGTCATGAGTACAGCCCAGCACCTCATATAGTGCCTGACATGTATGACATTTGATAAATGAGCAGGAGGGAAAGAAAGAGAAGAGAGAAAGAACTAGTCTAAGGTATGCAGTGGAGCTTGTATATCTTGTTAATTACTATAAAAGAGTTAGATAACGAGCATGACATAATTACTGTTAAAAATAGAACAGACAATAAACATCACTGTTTTGAGAAGGGAGAGACTGTTTCACCTGTTAAGGTCTAGGAAGAGCTTACAGAGGAGTTGAGGCTTGGGTTCAACATTTAAAAACCAAATAGCGTTTAAGTAAGTAAAGAGAAACAGGTCTCTTTGTAGGAAGTACAGCATGAACAAAGTATCATGAGAAGAAAGCACAAGGCATATTTTGGGAACAGTAAACCTAAAACAGAGGTTTTACAGGCGAATAGGATGGAAAGGTAAGGTAAAGTCAGAAAGTGGGGGGACTGAATGTCAGGCTAAAGGTTCATTATTTTTTTTCTTTAGGCATCAGGAACCACTGAAGATGGCTGACAGAGGAAAGAATCTAAGGGAAGTACTATTAATTAATATCAATCTGGCAGTAGAACTGAGATATAAGACATTAAATCAGTTAAGAGATTTTTAAAACTTGAGGGAAAGACGATTGCCACAGATCCTAGTATAGTATAGTATAGTATAGTATAGGTGTTCGCTATGTATTATTTGAGTTGTTGAAGGTCTGAACTAAGGTGCAGGATGCTGGGCATGGAAAGAATTAGAAATACATTCCAAAGAAATGACAAAGCAAGACATATGAACAAAATCTAGTGAAAAAGAAAGTGATTAAAGTAGTCAAGGTTCTAGCAGGAAACAGATGGTACACTCAAAGGGTTAGTGGACATGTTTTAATGAAGAAATTATTTGCAAAGGTATGGGCAAGTTTAACAAATCAACAAGATATGGTGATGTACCCAGGCACTCGCAAAGCAGGAAGCCTTTACCAGCCTTAAACCTAAAAGGACAGTTAGTTACTGGAACCATGAGACTTTACCCAAAGGAAAGAGCTATAGCTTCAACGGGAGCCATGGCTTTAGGAACTCCAGACACTGTCAAAGATCTGCTAGTGCCTTCCACTGGTCTATTCTAATGGGAAGCCAGAGAACAAGGGAGATTGAGTGATGCTACCCATACAGCCTAATCTCCTGGAACACAGAATAGGGCAAAAAAGATGAATAGAGGATATGGAAGGGTAATGAGAGTCTATACAGCCTAGTGAACAAGGACAAGGTTCCTGCTAGGGAAACTAAAGTTGAGTGATCCTTGTTTGTGCTTTCCTTAGTCACTGGCTCTAAAAGGATAGAAATCTAGGAGCAGATAGTGAAAGGGGGAATTAAGAAGGATTGTAAGTAACAGTCCAAGAGGTAATGAACAGTTGAGCATTTGAAAAAATGTAACTCTTTCAGAAAGAGGTGAGAAGATACAATCCCTAAACCCAATGAAAAAAGTTCAATATGGGGTCCTCAGACCCTGTGATGTATCTCTTCCACCCACAAATAGTAACTAAAGTTGGACCTCTCTGTCCAATTTGTTTTACAGACTCCAGTCTCTTCTTTATTCCCACAACTATCTACATCTCAATCCTTTGGCTTCAGTGACATGCTTAGTTTATTATTATTATTATTATTATTTTTATTAGTTGTTTTCTTATCTGCCTAAATTTGGTGCCTCCCATCTCTCTACTAGGACAGCCATGTAGGGACAGATTGACTGAGACCTTTCTGCCATACTACTGAAACCAATCCAGCCACAAGAACCCTTACTTAGTTAATCCTCAGATACCTACCTCCCATATTTTCTATCTTAGGGAACTAAGCCTCACTTATCCATTATTTGCAGAAGAAAAGAATAAATCAGAGGTAGAAAGAGTCACAGTGAGAGAGAATATCCAGAATATCCAGATAAGAGATCAATAAGAGAAAACACAGGAAAATTAGAATTTGTGGTCAACATTTTATTGGCAAGTCAGCCACATAATGATTAAGATATTCTAGGTCAGACAGACTGGGTTTTGAGTTCTAGCTGTGCCACTAGTTAGCTATGTGACTTAGGAAAATTACTTAATCTCCATAAGCCTTGGTTTTCTTCATTTGTAAAAGTGGGACTATCTACCTTACATAAAAAGTATTTAGCATAATGCCTGGTACATTGCAAATGAGTCCTCAACAAATCCAGCTATTTATAAACCATCATCATCATTGTATGAGTGGTGATGTGCTGTCACTATATATATGGCTAATATACTGCAAAAAAATGGTTAGAATTATTAATCTAAGGCATGTAATTATGCCAAGGCATATAAAAGGACATAGAGATATCGCAAGATGAATATGGAATATATAAGATTAACACAGTTCGTCTCCAAAGGATAAATGTGAAATGTAGGATGGATGAGCAGCAGGTAGTCCTGGGCGCTGCATGTTCAGACTGGATGAAGTCACCTCCTTTTCTTATTCTAGTCTAGAAGACTTCCCCTAGGAAGCAGGCTTATTCTGTAAAATCCAACTAGTCAGTATTTACCAAACATTTACCATGTGCCTAAGACTACAATAAATTACAAATAATTGAAAAAATTAAGGATAAGATATAAAGTCTACCCCCAAGAACCCTACAATCTCTTGTGAGGGCTATGAATACAATCTAAAATAAAGTATCAAATTCTACAACGTGGACTATATGTAAGTACACTAAGTAATCACAAAAAGGGAAGAGCTAATGGGTTACAGTCCTTGGTGAAAAATTCATGGAAGCTGGGTTGGAGTGGGGTGGCGGGAGCTGCGGACCTTGACATACATAAAGGATATTTAAAAGGGAAAATAACTGGGAGTTGGGAGCAATCCAAAGATGCCACTCTATAAATATTCTGGTAGGAGGAACCTCTAAAATCAATTCAACTTTACTGAATGGCTACTAGTACTGTATTAGATGTTGAGGTAGAGAAAAGAACAAGATAATCTCTGATATCGAGGAATTCAAAGTGTCCTGATGGAAAACTAGGAGAGCAAAACAAACAAAAACAGTTATTACAAAGCTGTGTGACAAATGCTGTAACAAAGGAATGACCAGGGAGTTCTGGAGCACTGTGAGAACTTTCAGTAGCATGGCAGGGTCTTCCGTGTGAGTGATTTTCTGGAGCTTAGATCCCGTCCGCCCCAGTCCACCAATCCTCGGACAGGGGAGGGGACTGGCATCGAAGTCATTCATTCTGAGTGATGAGGAAGTGAGTGGGAGCTGGGAGCTACACTTGCACTGAGGCCTGAAGGGTTGAGTAGGTGTTTGCCAGAGTGATTGGGGAGGGGATGGCAACTTTGACAGAAGAAATACCAAACACAAAGGTACTGAGGCATAAGGGGCTGACAAGTTTAGGAATTTTGTGACGCTTTCCTGTCTTCTTTCCCATCACCTTCACTTAGGGTTGCCGGATAAAATACAAACTGCCCACTTAAATCTAAATCTCTGATTACCAACTAACAATTTTAAAATATAAGTATGCCTCCAATATTGCATGGGACATACACACTCAGCCCTTCAACTCATCCTGTCCTGTCCGGGGCCCCACAAATCCCCGGTGAATACCGGCGAGCTCGTGGAGTAAAGCATGAGAAGGCTTATCTTCCTTTCACTCCTACATTTTTCACTCTCGGGTCTCCATCCCAGGACTGAGGGATGTAGCGCGCAGCCCGCAGCTCGCTACGCGTCGGAGGGTTTTCCTCTGAGGACTGGAAACGGGGCGCGGGATAAGGGCGGTGGGGCTGGGGGTTGTCACTTACGAAGAAATCTCACTCCGCTCCATAAAATCCTCAATCCAGTGCCGGATTTCCCGGCAAGCGGACGTCTCTCCGCCCAGGGACCGGAAATCCCGCCTCCGCCGGAAGAAGATGCGGAAGCGAGACCGCCTATCCAGAGGAAGGCAAGTGTTTGGCTCCTGCGGCTGAGAATCCCGCGCGGGGCTGGAGACAGGTAGCAGTACGGGGGCGGGGCTTCATGCCGGAAGTGGTAGTCCGCAGTTGTTTCGGTTGGCGGCCTAGCGGGTGGGAGATGCGGCGGCCACCTGCTGCGAGGAACCGAAGGGAAGGTTAGAGGTACGAAGGCAGTTTGGAGCTGGGGCTGAGCAGCTGTCGCACAGTCAGATCATGGGCTCGACCAAGCACTGGGGTGAATGGCTCCTTAACTTGAAGCTAGCCCCCGCCGGCGTGTTTGGTGTGGCCTTTCTAGCCAGAGTCGCCCTGGTTTTCTATGGGGTCTTCCAGGACCGGACCCTGCACGTGAGGTATACGGACATTGACTACCAGGTCTTCACCGATGCCGCGCGCTTTGTCACGGAGGGGCACTCGCCTTACCTGAGAGCCACGTACCGTTACACCCCGCTGCTGGGTTGGCTCCTCACTCCCAACATCTACCTCAGCGAGCTCTTTGGAAAGTTTCTCTTCATCAGCTGCGACCTCCTCACCGCTTTCCTCTTATACCGCCTGCTGCTGCTGAAGGGGCTGGCGCGCCGCCAGGCTTGTGGCTACTGTGTCTTTTGGCTTCTTAACCCCCTGCCTATGGCAGTATCCAGTCGAGGTAATGCGGACTCGATTGTCGCCTCCCTGGTCCTGATGGTCCTGTACTTGATAAGGAAAAGAGTCGTCGCGTGTGCAGCTGTGTTCTATGGTTTCGCGGTGCATATGAAGATATATCCGGTGACTTATATCCTTCCCATAACTCTCCACCTGCTTCCAGATCGCGACAATGACAAAAGCCTCCGTCAATCCCGGTATACTTTCCAGGCTCATTTGTACGAGCTCCTGAAGAGGCTGTGTGATCGGGCTGTGCTGCTGTTCGTAGCGGTTGCTGGACTCACGTTTTTTGCCCTGAGCTTTGGTTTTTACTATGAGTACGGCTGGGAATTTTTGGAGCACACCTATTTTTATCACCTGACTAGGCGGGATATCCGTCACAACTTTTCTCCATACTTCTACATGCTGTATTTGACTGCAGAGAGCAAGTGGAGTTTTTCCCTGGGAATTGCTGCATTCCTGCCACAGTTCATCTTGCTTTCAGCTGTGTCTTTCGCCTATTACAGAGACCTCGTCTTTTGTTGTTTTCTTCATACATCCATTTTTGTGACTTTTAACAAAGTCTGCACCTCCCAGTACTTTCTTTGGTACCTCTGCTTACTGCCTCTTGTGATGCCACTAGTAAGAATGACTTGGAAAAGAGCTGTAGTTCTCCTAATGTTATGGTTTATAGGGCAGGCCCTATGGCTGGCTCCTGCCTATGTTCTTGAGTTTCAAGGAAAGAACACCTTTCTGTTTATCTGGTTAGCTGGTTTGTTCTTCCTTCTTATCAACTCTTCCATCCTGATTCAAATTATTTCCCATTACAAAGAAGAACCCCTGACAGAGAGAATCAAATATGACTAGTGTATGTTCCACACCTTCTGCTACTGTGTTACCTTCTGATTGTCTTGTATGGACCAGAAGAGAGCTTTGGGACATTTTTTCTGAACATTCTAAGGATTCTAGTGAAAGTTTCCGTGTTCCAGCAGAATGTTTGTCTTGTATATAAAAGGGACACAATAATTGAGGTCCACCTTCTAGGAAATCCTAGGACTCGTTTATTTGGGACATGGTGGGAATAAAGTGTAGGAGGACAAGCCGCAGACAGAACTCCTCAGACACCAAGTTAAAGAAGGAAGGGGTTTATTCGGCTGGGGGCATGGGCAAGACCCCTGTCTCAAGAGCCGAGCTCCCAGAGTGAGCAATTCTTGTCCCTTTTAAGGGCTCACAACTCTAAGGAGGTCCGTGTGAGAGGGTCGTGATCGATTGAGCAAGCAGGGGGTATGTGACTGGGGGCTGCGTGCACCGGTAATTAGATAGGAACAAAACAGGATAGGGATTTTCACAGTGCTTTTCTATACAATGTCTGTAATCTATAGATAACAGAACGGATTAGGTCAGGGGTCGATCTTTAAGTACCAGGCCCAGGGTGTGGCGCCAGGCTGTCTGCTTGTGGATTTCATTTCTGCCTTTTAGTTTTTACTTTTTCTTTCTTTGGAGGCAGAAATTGGGCATAAGACAATATGAGGGGTGGTCTTCTCCCTTAAAAGGTTACATATTGGAAAATGAAAGGCTTATGAAACTATCAGATACTAAGATTCTTAAAATAGAGGAATATAGTTAGAGACATCAGGTTTAAGCCAGTATTTGTTCCTGTTTTACAATGCTTCTGTCTTAAGCTGTGTCTCAACTTTTAACCCCTATCTTTTCTTTCTAAAGCTTTCCTGACAGCTGTGAAAATCCAAAAAATATTCTTAGGCTGGGTATGGTGGCCCTTGCCTGTAATCCCAGCATTTTGGGAAGCTGAGTTGGGAGGGTCGCTTGAGTCCAGGAGTTCTAGACCTACCCGGGGCAAGATGGTGAGACCTAGTCTCCACAAAAAATAAAAAAACTTAGCCAGGCGTGGTGATGCACCCCTGTAGTCACAGCTGCGTGGGAGGCTGAGGTGGGAGAATTGCTTGAGCCCACAGCAAGACCCTGTCTCAAAAAAAAAAAAAAAAGGAAAGGACAACTTTTTAGATGTAAAAGTATTAAATAATACTAAGGTGCTTAGTATTGTTTCAAAGAGTTTTTAACTTCTATATTAAATGTGGGGGCTTAGAAGATAATCCAAAGACTTTGGGAGGCTGAGGCGGGCAGATCACAAGGTCAGGAGATTGAGACCATCCTGGCTAACACGGTGAAACCCCGTCTCTACTAAAAATACAGAAAATTAGCCAGGCCTGGTGGCAGGTGCCTGTAGTCGCAGCTGCTCCTCAGGAGGCTGAGGCAGGAGAATGGTGTGAACCCGGAGGCAGAGCTTGCAGTGAGCCGAGATGGTGCCACTGCATTCCAGCCTGGGCGACAGAGCGAGACTCCATCTGGCGAGGGGAGGGGGAAAGATAATCCAAAGAATTTAAATTGTAATCATGCTTCATGTATTTGTTTTATTACTTAGTTTTTTTTAGCAGTTAGTCCCAGTGGTATTAGACTGGCATTTGGTTTCATACAAAAAGGATTAAATTTAAATCCATTCATGTTTAGACTTGAGGTATTACATTTTTAAAACTATCATCTTGCCTTTAATGTTTGAGGTCCTTAAACACACAAACTATTAGTACATTTCAGTATCCTCTTACCCCTTTGTTTTTAAGTTTTTGATTGCTAAAGCAAGATTTTTTTTCTTCTAGAATTTAAGTCAATCAAGTGTTATCTTTGCTGTAAAAATGGATAATGGTAGATTTTAGGTGATAAAACAACTTGTTAGTAAGACATTTCCTAGCTTAAAAAAAAAATCAAAAATTCCATGATAGAAATGCAGACCTGTGAGGGAAACTCCTGAAAAGCATATGAAGCATCCCAAAGAGCCATGGGTGTTCTAGACCAGGAAATTTAGAGGGAGATTGTGGAAATGAGGCTTAGATGGGCAGATCGTTTCCCTTATCACTGTAATATTTCTGGGGGGAAAATGCTTTCTGAGTTGTTTAAACAAGCATCCTTACTTTTTTTTTTTTTTTTTAATTAAACAGCCTGTCTAGGCTTGGGAGTCCCTAACACTATGGTAGCAGTATATGAATGTGATTTTGTGATTGTGTTTTTTAAAAGATAAGTAATTTGATAAACTGTTCTTTTGCAGTCAAAAACACTCACAAATAAGACAAAAAGAGTTCCACAGTATTATATTTCACGTCAGTTCAGGCTTAAAAGCCTTTGCAAATAAGATGTCTATAGGCTGGTCACAATTAGCAATGTTATTATTGGCAGCACTTCTTGGATGGATACCTTTTGGGACCTTTCATTAGAAAGAGGGTAAGAATGGGGTGGTTTTGTATGGGCTCCTGTTTGGGGTAAAAATAGCAGAGTCAGTTGCTGAGGACAGTGACCTTCCTTATAACATTTAGTCTCATACCCATATTGGGTCTTGTCTTGAGGACCGTTTATATGGGCTTGTTTACTAGTGGCCTTCCAGCCATAGCATTCTTACCTTTTTTTCCTATTCTACTGTAAGAATTAAAAAAAAATTATAGAGCCAGCACGGGAGGAGGCAGGAAACAGAAATCGAATTTCATCATTCTAATATAATTGTCCCTTTTTTGTATTTGTGACTTTGTTTGATAATTATATTTACTTACTAATTATTGTTTTTTAACATTCTTTATTGTGGCTTACTCTTCATACTTAGAATTGAAATTGTTGGACATCACATGTATATTCACATTATAAATACATCATTCTTCCACTGTTAGACCTGCAGATTGCTTCCAGTTTTTAATATTCTAAATAAGACTTTCAACATTTTGTTGTTTTAACTCATTCTCTTAGGACATTCTTAGAAGTTAGAAACATTTCTGCTGGGATCTTTGGAGGGAACTTCAAACTTTAGATACTTTCCTGCAAGAAATACCAAAGAAAGGCAGGTGTTTCTTAAAGGGATGCAAAGGATATTTTGCAGTTTGTATGCTGCAAAATGTTTAGTTAGTAAGTTAACTAAAAAATTGGGTTAATTTGGTTTCTTGGGGGATTTTAATTTTTTAATTTGTTTTCTGGTTATCTAAAGTTTTTTTTTTTTTTTTTTTTTTTTGCTTCTTATCACAATCCTTTTATTTCCTTTTTAGTCCTTTAATAACACCTTCAAATTTTATAAGACTTTTACTTATTTCCTACGTAATTCTTTTTTTTTTCTTATACCACCCCTTAAGATTGATATGTTCATTTACAGATAAACATTAATTATTAGATAAAGAGGTATGGTTCTCAAGATTGTGTGTGTTCTGAACAGAGGGAGCTACATAACATTTTCTTCTGTAATTGCCTTTGTAACGTCTTTAGAATATGGTTCCTAAATATTCCTAGATAAATTCTCTTGATAGGCCCATTGGAAAGGCTAATACTCCCACCAGACTGCTTTGTTCCTCCCTGGCAAAAGAATTCTTAAAACCACTGATTTTAGTTACTGACTTCTCACCATCTGGACTCTCACAAGATGTTTCAGAAGTTGTGTAGAACTTGTCTTTCAGTTAGTTGACTTGTGACTGAATTTATTGTTACTTCTCTAATATCAGTTGTTTTCTGCATTACCACCCTCTCCCCTAACCATCTGTACTATGAATAGAAAAGGAAAAAGATGGAAAATTATACCTAGGATTGTCCCTAAATGCAACCTCTTGGTTCCCCCCACCCTTCATGTTTTATTATAAACTATTTTAAGGACTGGGTGTGGTGGTTCATGCCTATAATCCCAATGCTTTGGGAGGCTGAGGCAGGAGGATCACTTGAGGACAGGAGTTTGAGACCAGCCTGGGCAACACAGTGAGACCCCCATCTGTACAAAGAAAAAAAAAAAAAAAGTGCTACTCGGGAAGCTGAGGTGGGAGGACCACTTGAGCCCAGGATTCGAGGAGGTTATAGTGAGCTATGATTGTGCCACAGCACTCCAGCCTGGGTGACAGAGCAACACCCTGCCTCTAAAACAAAAAACTGTAGCTGTTTTTTTTTTTTTTACTTTTCTGAGGCAAAATTTCACTTTGTCACCCAGGCTGGAGTGCAGTAGTATAATCATGGCTCACTGCAGCCTTGAACTCCCAGGCTCAAGTGATCCTTCCTCCTCAGCCTCCCAAGTAGCTGGGACCACAGGTATGTGCCACCATGCCTGGCTAATCCTTTTATTTTTTGTAGAGATGTGGTCTTGCTGTGTTGCAAGAGGGAGATTGCTTAAGTGATCTTCCCTCATTGGCTTCCCAAAGTTGGGATTACAGGCGTGAGCCACTGCACCCAGCCTGACCTAACTATTTTAAACATTACTTATATCGCCATCATCTAAATTCAACAACAATTTGCCATATTTGCTTTATATATAGGTATAAATATATATATGTAATTTTTTGAACCATGTGAAGTTGCAAACATCATTGAACTTCACCACTAAATATATCAGCATGCATCTCCTAAAAATAAGGTATTTTCTTACAAAACCATAATACTGTTATCTATTATTATTATAATTTAACATTCTGTCGTTTTCAAATTTCTTCAGGTATTTTTTGTTACATCTTAAAGAACAGACATTCTTGGATCTCAAAGTTTCCAAGGAAGGAAAGAACATGATGGATAATCCATAATTAAGAAGTTTGGATCTTTTCCTAGTCTTAAAAACAAAGTGAGAACTAAAGGGGTTTACCTTCCATCAAAGTTAAACAAATTAATTCTTTTATGTGTCATACTTTCTGCCTGTCTCCCTAAAAACATGGGGGTGGTAATCTCTTTGTTTTATCTGGTAGGTTTTTCAGATAAAAGCTTATACATGTTTGGAATGTTAATATCCAACCCCCAACTCCAAGCCCTGCCCCAACAACAACAGCTAATTATTTTACATCTTGATGATGGTAAGTTTTTCATGATTAACCAATTTTGGGCACCTATTCCACCATATATGTTTTTATTTAATTTTCACAACACTTCAAAGTTGATATTCATATTCTAAATTTATAGATGAACAAAGAGGCTCAAAGATTAAATAGGGATTTTTACCCATGCTTTTTCTATTATATTATGTTTTGGATTTTTCCAGAGTACCCAAACCCAGCAGATGCATACCGCTGCAAAATAAATGGAACTCAACACTGGCTCTGACAAATGTCTTGCCAATCAGTTTGTCCAAATATTTTAGGTGTTTGAGGGGCAGTTCTCTCAGCTGTACCAAGTCACTGTCATTCCCAAACTTTTCAATGATTCCAGACCTTTAACAACTCCCTTCCACATCCAAACCCTCTCTCACCAAATTGTGTAATTTCTTTGTTTACTGCTGGCTTCATCATGTACTTTTCCTTCATGGCCTGTTTTTAAGAAGTTGATTTGCTGAACCACTTTTTAGCCAAGCTATTTGTAAATCAAGCTGCACAAAATATGTGGCCATAATTTCTAAAAGGCACATGATCATTGTTAAATTTCTCTTGCTCTGCAGTGTGCATTCATGCGGTTAAAAATTGTCCTGCACTGATAGTATGGCATCAGAGAATAGACTCAGATCACTTAGGTTCAAATCCCAGTACATGATCCTGAGCAAGATTATCATATCTAGATACATTAGTTTTTATCTGTGAAATGGGAATGATAGTATAATCTGCATAGAGTTGTTGGTAAGGATTAAGTGCGTTGATATGCTCAAAGTGTGCATGCTGGCATAGAACAAGCCACTGATTACAAGTCTTTATAAAGAAGCAGCTGTTCTGGCACTGTAAACTTGAACCTTTTTTTCCCCAAATCGAATGGATATAGGCAAGGAACTTGTATTTATATAAAATAAATGTTTGACTACCTTTTATCATAAACTTTATTCTCATCTTGATCTGGTCCTTTGAAAAGATAATAAAAACTGATACGTGAAAAATGTATGGACAGATTATTCAGATGTCTGGTTGAGGCCTAACAGTTTTGTGTATTTCTGTCAGACATTAAGCTGACTCTAAGCAGTGGAGGTTTGGTTTATGCCCCTAAATTACACAGCACTTCTTTTCTCCATTGTGTTGAGGGGTCATTCAGGGGTTGCTGTTCTGGAGATGGAAGCACATGTCTCCTGCCTGGGTCAGAAGCGTCACAATAGCACAAGCATTTATTCAGCACTGGCCTAGGAGAACCATTCATTTAGTCAAAACAAGCATTTATATTCATTATCCTGAACAAAAACCAGACTAAATGAGAACATTTCTAGCTGCTCAGGCACTCTGCTAATTGCTATGTCTGCTAGATAAAATGAAATGACACTTATAGTGACTATTTAAAAATAATTTGGAGCATGAATATTTGAAGCTCAGTTCATTTTACAAAGGAAATGTATAACCTTTGCTCTTCATTTTTTTTTGGCAATTATTTATAGATCCAGGCCCTGTGTCAAGTTCTGTAATAGATGAATAGACAGTCTATGCTCTTGAAGAGTAAACAGTAAAAACAGAAATATACCCCGCTGATCAAGTGTTATATAACACCCCATTCAGTTCCACAATGATGTGATTTGTGAAATGAAGGGGCAATAGGGCAAGGTAGAGGATATTTTTATTTGTATTTTACAGATAAGAAAACTGAACTCAGAAACAAGTGACTTTCCAAGGCCAAATAGCTAGTTAATGGCAGGATCGGGGCTGGACCCCAGGTGTTCTGATTCTGACCTTTTTTTTGTTTTTTGTTTTGGTTTTTTTTTTTTGCAATTCCTTTTTAATGCTATCCAATGACAGGTGATTACAGTGGAAAACTTCACTTATTTAGCAAATGTCATTCACTTCGCAAACTACTTAGCAAAATACCCTGAGTATCTTCTCTGTGCCAGGCATTGTTCTAGGCATCATAGATGCAGTGAGTGAGAGAGGGAGGCAAAGACCCTATCTTTATGGACCTTACATTTTCATGGGGAGGCAAAGAATAAGCAAGTACAGGATTGTGATGATGATATATCATAAAAATAAGGCAAATTAAGGAAGTAGAGAATGATGGCAGTGCGGAGAGTGGAGTAGGTGCTACTTTAGATGAACTGGTTAGGAAGGTATTGTGGTGAGAGGGCACTTGAACAGAGACCTGGAAAGTGAAGGCATGACCTTCATGCAACCATGGTGCGGGGAGGTAAGGGAAGAGCATTTCACTCAGCATCCCTCCTTGCTGAGTGAAAGCAGTGCGGAGGTCCTGAGGTAGCAATGAGCTTGGCAGGTTTAAAGAACAGTAACGCAAGTATTACTGACTGGAGTGAGCAAGGAGCAACCAGAATCTAATTCACATTATCCAGCAGAACGACATGAATGCTAGTTGAAAAATACAATTAACATTAGCATTTTTACTGGCTTATAATGCAATAACTTTAAGCCCAACCTATTTTTTTTCCCCTGACTTCTGAGCACATGTTAATATGTAAGGAAGATGAAACATATATGTAAACAACTTATATTTTAGTAATGATACAAAATACTTTCACACATTTTGTGACATGGGAATTTTTTAAAATTCCATTTTCACAGATGAGACCCCTAAAGCTCAGAGTATATGCACTTTGCCCAAGGTCAGAGTTAGTAAGTGAGGCTGGACTAGACCCTAGATCTTCTGGAGCTAGATATACTACTCATTTCTCTGTACTACCCTTATCATTTAGCTATGGTGAACAGAAGATGACTCACTGGATTCTAGAAAGCAGGGAGTTCAGGAAAAACGTCCAACCGATGATTCATTCATCTAGTAAATACTTAGGAGCCTACTTTGTGCCAGGCACTCAGCTAGCCTGGGGGTATAAAGATGGTTAAGACTAGAGTCCTGCCTTTAAGGAACTCATAGTGCCTGATGGAGGAGTCTTGTGGAAAGAGGATTATAGCTCAGTTATAGGCTAGAGTAAAATACACCTAAAGTAGTTTACTAATACATTAATTGGACAAAACTAGTGCAGAACCTGATATATACTAGGTACTGAGATGTTTGTTATCTTACCTGTTTTTTTTTTCTTTCTTTCTTTCTTTCTTTTTTGAGACGGAGTCTCGCTCTGTCGCCCAGGCTGGAGTGCAGTGGTGCGATCTCGGCTCACTGCAAACTCCACCTGCCGGGTTCAGGCCATTCTCCTGCCTCAGCCTCCTGAGTAGCTGGGACTACAGGTGCCCGCCACCACGCCCGGCTAATTTTTTGTACTTTTGGTAGAGATGGGGTTTCACCATGTTAGCCAGGATGATGTCGATCTCCTGACCTCGTGATCCGCCCGCCTCAGCCTCCCAAAGTGCTGGGATTACAGGCGTGAGCCACCGCGCCTAGCCTACCTGTTTTTCTTTAACATTGGTAACTGCTGGGGGCTTTCTTTGAAACTTCCCTGCTTAAAATCAGTCAGTGATTAATCATACCTTTGATAATCCTTATCTTAGCTCATAAGACCTTTTATGATCTAACTCTTGCCTACATCTCCAGCTTCATCTTGTACCTCGCCCCACCCTCCAATCATACCAAATTATACCCCCTCTTCATGCCTTTGCGCCTGCTGTTCCTTTGGCTAATATATCCTTCTCCTCTTGTCTTTCCTTACCAGCTAAGTTCAGTTAAGGATGACCTTTGTGAAACATTCTGTGATACAGTACCTCTATTGTATAGTGCAGATCACATTGTACTGTAATTTCCCATGTGTATGACTGTGCCATCTAGACTGTAGGCTCCCTAGGGATAGGGATTATTTCTTTTTTTTTTTTTAAGACGGAATCTTGCTCTGTCTCCCAGGCTGGAGTGCAGTGGTGCAATCTCGATCACTGCAAGCTCTGTCTCCCGGGTTTATGCCATTATCCTGCCTCAGCCTCCTGAGTAGCTGGGACTACAGGCGCCTGCCGCCACGCCCGGCTAAGTTTTTGGATTTTTAGTAGAGATGGGGTTTCACTGTGTTAGGCAGGATAGTCTCGATCTCCTGACCTTGTGATCCGCCCACCTCGGCCTCCCAAAGTGCTGGGATTACAGGCATGAGTCACTGTGCCCAGCCCCAGGATAGGGATTATTTCTTATTCATTAATAATATTTTCCTGGGACTTTTCCAGATCCAAGCAAAAACAGACAGGAATAACCAGTATCATCGAGCTGCTGGGTTTGCTACTAGTCTCCTAGGTTTGTTAAATTGAGTTGTATAGGAATCTGTCAAGTGGGAGCTGGGGATAGTGAGCTCGTTTGCACAGTGTGAATGGCGGGGGCTCTGAAAAAGAAGAGAAAACAGTTTCTCAGTGCCTATCATTTCTAAATGCCATCAGTATCCACCTAATTTTCTAAGCTAGAATCTTATAATCACCTCCTATTCCTTCTTCTCCTTCACTTGTTACCCGCTCCACATCTAATCAGTCACTAAATTCTGTCAGTTCTACCTTTTAATGTCCCTGGAGCCTGCTGGCATCTTGCCATTGTCATTGCCAGTACTACAGTTCAGGCCCTCATTATCTCTCATCTGGAATCGATAGCTCCTGACTGGTCTTCTTGCTTTTCGTCTCTCTTGCCCTTCATTCCACCTCTCATTTATCCTCCCCAGTGCTGCCAGAGTGTGCTTTCCAAAGCAGATCTGATCGTGCCACCATTCTGAAAAAAAGCATCCTGGGGGACTACGTGACTTGCAGAAAGAAATCCAAATTCCTTAGCATCCTCCATCTTGCACCAATTTCCCCTACTCAGCCTCACTCTAGCCTACTGGATAATGCAGTTTCCTGAAGTTATCACACTATTAAGCCTTTGCTCATGCTGGTTTGTGTGTGTGTGTGTGTGTGTGTGTGTGTGTGTGTATGTGTGTGTGTTTTGAGACAGAGTCTTACTCTGTCGCCCAGGCTGGAGTGCAGTGGCATAAACTCAGCTCACTGCAACCTCTGTCTCCCAGGCTCAAGTTGATTCTCATGCCTCAGCCTCCTAAGTAGCTGAGATTACAGGCACGCACCACCATGCCCAGCTAATTTTTTTGTATTTTTAGTAGAGATGGGGATTTCGTGCTGTTGGCCAGGCTGTTCTTGAACTCCTGACCTCAAGTGATCCGCCTGCCTTGGTCTCCCAAAATGTTGGGATTATAGGCATGAGCCACTGCACCCGGCCTGCCCATGCTGTTTTTTCTGCCTAGTGTGCATACTTCTCTCCTGGCCTTCAGATGACCTGCCACTCATTTTTCAGGACCCAACTCATAGGACACTTCCTCTGTCAAGAGGAATGCCAGATGAGCTTTTGGAGACAGAAGGTTAGCCGTTAAGGGGGGAGAAAAGAAAGATAGGGCCAGAGTTGTAACATTTGGTAAATAATCTCTGCTAATGGATTTGATATGTTATGGTTATTTGTGCATTTGTCTCTTTCTCTCAGACTTACTGTTTTGTGTTTGTATCCTTAGCATACAGCATAAGTGCTCAATAAATGTTTGTTAAATAAGTGAAGTAGGTATGCGGAGGGAACAACTGTTTATTGAGCACCTATTGTAAGCCTATATGCTTTTAACACATCATCTCATTCAAACCTCAAAACAATTTGTTTGATATAAGTAGTATTTGCTAATAAGAAACAGTCGCAGAGGACATAAATACTTCCCTCCCTCCCCACCCACCAAGGTTATGGGTTTGTGAGGAATGGAACTAAAGTTGGAACCTAGGTCTGTCTGACTCTAAACCTTCCCTCTCTTGTGTGATTCTCAGACAGGGACAATTTTGTTCCCCCACTCTGGGGACATTTGGCAATGTCTGGAGATATTCTTGGTGATTATAATGGGGGTGTTACTGGCGTCTAGTGAGTACAGGTCAGGTATGCTGCTAGGCATCTCCATTTTCCCACAGAAAGGTCCCCCAGCAAAGAATTTTCTGGCCCTGAATGCCAGTAGTGCCAAGGTTGAGTGTCTTCATCTATTTGAGCTGCTGTACTAAAATAGCATAGACTGGG